AGCCAAGAGGTCGGGTCCTATGAGCACCGCCTGGGCACAGTGGAAACAGCTGGCGCTGAAGGGCGGGAAATCTTGGTGCGGAGCTGGCAGGATCCCGCAGGGCCTGTAGAGAGGAGCTGCTGCCCTGGTCTGCATGCTGGCCGCTGGCCTCCATACCGAGGAGAACGCGTGTCAGGCCCTGGCGTCTTCCTCGATGCTGCTGCAGCTGGGCGGCCCTCGCCACGCAGGCCCAGAGCCGGGGCGGTGTTCGCACATGCTCAGTGCGAGGCAGTTCAGTGAACTTGGGGGAACATGCGGCTTGGACATGGGAGGCTGCGAGGCGGGGCTCACATCTGGCTCCCCCACTGCCCGGCCTAAGTGAGCTTCTCCAAGTCTCGTTTCCACGTCCAGAGACCGAGGACTAGGAAGGGGGCGTGGCTTCAAGAGCTGTTTCGAGAGTTTGACGCCAGAAAGGTGTGGCAAGGGCTAAGCCGTACCCGGGACAGAGCTGGGTCCACACACACACACACACCACCCCAGGGGCCTGGCAGGCCAGCGGGGTGTCCCGCGCTGGGGCCCCGGAGCCGGGCTCCTCGGCACCAACTCCGAGCGCTCCCAACGCCCCTGCAGACGGCAGCTCCGCTGCCCACAGCCCGGGCTTGGGCTTCCAGCTCCCAGTCGCCACCCCAGCCACCTCCCTCCAACCGTCCGCTGTGCATCTGAAGAGCCTTCCCGTAACCTAACGCGGCCCTCCCGCGATGGGGCTGAGCTGCAGGACACTTGGGGAGGTTCCTTAGGGGAGACGGAGTCAGTGGGACTGGAGAGTGACGCCCCGGGGGGACCCCACCCCCAGGGCCACCTCACCCTTTCAAAAAGCTCCCGGAGGCTGCTTGAGAAAAGTTAAGCTGTTTATTTCACAGGACAGCTCCACGTCAAACCAGCAGGCACCATCAGAGTACGCGACAGAGGACCCAGTCAGACACGCTACAGGACGGGCATTCGTTTAGGGTAGAGAAGCGCCCGCATTCCGACCGGGGCACCTACCATGACGGGGACAGGCAGCCAGCGTGTCCTAGGGCGGGTTCGGGTTTTTTTCCTGACACAGTCGAGGGAGGAAGGAAACCAAAGGAAACGAAATAGACCAGCCACTCTGAAACAATCAGAACCTATTGCCAAACCGTGTGCAGCCACGCTGCCGGGAGCTGCAGCCTGGGCGACCTCCAGCCAGCGCGGACTCCGTCTACGGACGGAACCTGCGCTCTGGCTGTGCAGGTTCCAGGGACGGCTTTGCGATTTGCCCGGGACAGTTCGCACAGTAAGGGGGTGTCCGTGGGGGGCAGCGATGGCCACTTGGCCGGCCCCCGAGGGTGGGACGGCGGGACGCCGGCAGGTCACCTCACAGAGGCCGGAGGCCCCGGCCTGACAGCCAAGTCCCTTCTCTCAGCCCCCCACCCCCGGCCCCCGGGTCGCTTCGGGGGTGGGGGATTCTCTACATGGCCGCTCAGAGGAGAGGACACCCCAGAGAACCGGGGCAGTTGATGTGAAGTCAGCATCAGCTCTGCACAGCAGAAAAATAGGCTAAGCAGCACCCCGCCGGGCCCCCGGCCCCCGCTTGTGCGCCTCCCGGCCCGGCAGGCCCCCTGCGGGGACCGGCCAGTCCTTCTGCTCTCTGGGCTCCGTGGGAGAACGGGGCATTTGCTCGAGTGTGGAACCATCTGGACGTGCGAGAAGTTGCCGTGAGAAAGACGGAGAGAAGTGCCGTCCGTGAGTTCTGGGGGCGCGCGGGCCACGGGGCCCTCTGCCTCCTGAACGCGCGAGCTACACCCAGCAAGGCACTCCAGGGGCGCCGCGGGGCCCCCACGCACGCGACACGCCGTCTCGGAAGTGTTTGTAAGGCAGATCTCTGGGCTGCTGGTTGGCAGAGCCGGGCGGCCCGAGCCCGCTCTCCCCGCTCGCGCCTGTCATGGAGCAGAAACCTTCCATCCCTTGGGAGTCCGCCTGGCCCCTGCCCCTGGGCCGTGGCCCCGGGGAGAGACTCCCGTGGCTAACTCCCAAGCTTACAATTCCCTCCACCATGCGCTCTGCCCGGGGTTCAAAAGGCGCTTCAAGGTGAGAAGTCGTTAGCACTGAAAACAAGGAAAGGCAAGAATTTTTCAGAGAATCCCACAGCTCAGAGCAGCTCTTTGGGGGGGAGGGGGCACGGGGAGAGGGGGAGAGTCGGTAGGAAGCACAGCTTGTTCCCAATTTTATCCCGGAAAGGTCTTTCGTGGCGGCTGGGCCCGCAGGCCCAGGACACTAGCCCAGGAACGAATTGTCTTTGGTCAGTGTTAAATGAACATCTTGCTGGTTCATTCCCAAAATAGACTGAACACCGGTTACACGGGGACACGGAGGCCTCGACCTCGGGGTAAGTCGGAGGTTTAAGGAAGAAACTGTTCTGTGAAGCAGAGAAAAAATGTGCCCGTTGTGGAGAGTGAGGGGCAGCTCCCAGCCTGGGCCGCAGCCAGCAGGGGAGACGCCCTTCCCTGGGGCTGGCTCCGCCCGGACACTGGCGAGGGCACCCGCCCCCGGCGCACGTCCGCCAGCGTTCTGGCGTTTGTCTCTACATCCATCTATCTACCAGGCGCGAGGATTTGGTGGGCGGCTACCGTTTCGCTGTAGCCTTTAAAAAAATGACAGGTTCACATTTTTAACAGTTACTTTCCAGCATGGAAGCAGATACAGCAATATATAGTGGACGCACACAGGCCGGGCCGGGGGTCGCCGGCGCCCGGTGGCCGGGCCGGGCGGGCCTGAGGGGCCGGGACATGCAGAGTGCCGGGCCGGGGGCGGGCGGGCAGGGCTTTTCCGTTTGGTTCTGCGTCAAGGCTCAGATTCGGGGCTGGGTGAGCGGGTGCCGGGCGCCCCGGTGGGAACTCACCAGCCGTTTTCTAGCGGGAAAACAGGTGCTCAAAGCCAACAGCGAAGGGGCTGCCTCCAGGTGACCGGGCCGAGCTGGGGCACGGCCGTCCCCGCGGAGGCCAGGCCGCCAGCGCTGACCGCAGGCCTCGGGTGCCAGCTCGGCTTTTCGCTTTTCAGCCGGTCAGTGAGGCCTGCAGGCCGCGGCAGGGGCTGGGGGTCGGGGCGGGAGTGTCGGTGGCCGGGACTCTGACCGGGCGGGGGCCGGCCTGCTCTCTCCCCTGAGCTGTACAGGGCTGACGTGGATGTGCCCCAAGGCTCAGGGCTCCCGGCTGGGTCTGCGCCCGCCCTGGGTGGTCCGGACACTCGGCGCTCGCCGCCCGCCCGGCAGCCGGGCTCAGGGCTCACACAGCTACACACCCGGGTGCTCGGGACAGCTTCGGCCACCTCTGGGTGCGTTTGCCGGGGGTGGTGTTGGGGGGGGGTGAGGTGACGGCAAAGCAAACCCAGGCACTGCGCCTGCCAGCTGCCGGTGAAGCTGGGCGAAGTTCCACCGCCTGCCCAGGAAGCGCCTGGACA